AATATTTTAAAATTTATATTATAACGTTGAATGTGCTGTTATGAAATTCTAAATTGAAGTTACAACTTTACATGTCATTAATCCAAGTTAGTATAAATCCAATACATTTATTTCTATCACGTTCATATTATAAACATTGTAGTTTTGTTTATTGAAATTTAAAATGTATGTTACTAATTACTATATTGTAATTATTACCAAAGTTTACATTTAACACGGTCTTAACCTCAAAATCGGTTTAAATGCGTAGAAAACAAAATCAATTCTTGCTATGTATAACAAAAATATGTGGTGTTCTAATTATATTTTGAAAATATATATAATTTTCAAAATACGTTATTACATTTTTGAATAATGAAATGTAAAATGTTTCAAATTTCCTTTTTTAATTTTACTTGTGCATGTACAATTATTTGGAATGTATGTACTTGTTATTAATAACTGCATGTACCTTAGGTGAATAAAACATACTGCTGAATACCTTAGTAAAGGTTACCTTTAATTATGAGTAAAACAGATGCTGTTGACTCTGACAACAAAATTTATGGATTCAAGAGAAAACTGGAACCTGACAAAATCATTGGCGCCACAGACTCTAGTGGGGAATTAATGTTTTTAATGAAATGGTTAGTTTCTGCTTAATATCTATTGAACCATAAACAACAGTAATATAAATAATGCGTTTTTTAGGAAAGGAACGGAAGAAACAGATTTGGTTAGCGCAAAGGAGGCAAATTTGATTTGCCCACAAATAGTTATACAATTTTATGAGAATAGACTTTCATGGCATGTTAAAAAACAAAATTTTAAGTAGGATAGTCTTTTCATTATACTCACAAGAATTGATAGTTTTAATTATATGACATAGACAGAAGTCTTTCACATTACTTATATGTTGATTATAGAATGAAGAATTTTAAATATTTGTGTATTTATATGTAATATTTAAAAAAGAAAGAAATGTCTAAATTTACACAATTCATCAAGGAAGGTAAAAGTCAATTTGGCCCTGACTTTTCTGTTTGTTAAACA